AAAATAAATGTCTCCACAAGGAAAGTTTGAGTTGGCTGGGTGAGTGAGACAATTTGATAAGGTTTAGAACCGTGTAGGAGATATACCTTAGGGTACGTTAAGATCAACAGCAAAGAGACTGCCTATCATAACACGGTGGCAAATCTCCATGGCTAGCTAAAAGAGAAACGTGAGAACGCTAGATGGACATGAGCACTATGACCTTGTGGTCTGCTGAGCTATGAGGAAACAGCCTCCTGGTTCTACCACGCCAGCCGCAAGCTCCAGCACCGTGCTTGCCTGATGCGATGGACTGCACACCCTCAACTGAGAGCCAAAATAGATGTCCCCTCCCCTCAGCTGCCCCTTGTCGGGTATGGAGTCACAGCCATGAGAAGAATAACGAATACAATTAGCGGCGGCCTTCAGGGCAGTGGAGACAGAATTGAAGGCGGTAGGGAGGCATCTCAGAGCTTCAGCAAGAACAATCCATAACAGTCCCTTTAAAAGAATCAAACGGTCATTCCAATCAGTAAAAAGACAATGCCATGAGCTGCCAAGACCAAGACAACTCTAGTCTGCCGGGAACGAGAGGTGAGCTGGCCTCGCTCAGTCGGTTATGGTGGAGAAAAACATGGAGGCCTCTGGGCGTGTTTACTGGAAGGGACACACCCTGAAGAACACAGATGGATGAGCACAGGTCATGTAGCTCAGGATAGCACTTGTTCTAGAGAGAGAGAGAGAGAGAGGGGGGGGGGAGGGAGGGAGGGAGGGAGGGAGGGAGGGAGGGAGGGAGGGAGGGAGAGCCCACTCAGTGAGACCAGAGAGTGAGCAGCCACACATGGGCGAAGACAACCCTTGGGGAGGTCCATCTGGGGCTGGATCCATAGTCTACATAAACATCTAAAGCACCTTCCCTAGATGTAGGAGGCATCGGACATAAAGATGGATTTGCTCTAACAGAAATGAACATTTAAAAAGTAATTGGTATAACATGTTCATTTTGTTGCATTCATAGTTGAGATTAACTCATTCTTCTCAAATATAGAAGTAACATATGATGATGTTTGAAACACGAAATGAGGTCAGTTTTCATATGAAGTACTTTAAAAAAAAAAATTACATGTGATAGTAATTGCCAGGGTTGCAAAATAATAGTTAAGCAGTAAAAAAAAAAAAAAAAAAAAAAAAAAAGTAGTTTCTTCTAAGGTGTGCCATTTTGCCAGCCTTTTAAAGTCATTATGCTCATCTTTGTCTTTCTTTTAATAGAGGCTCTGGTTTCTCCTAGTTATACAACTGGAAAGAGTCATATGTACAAGGTTATTTCAGGAGAAAGCAGGATGGGTAAATCAGGTCAACCAGAAGTGGAAAGAAATCTTCAGAACTCCGCATTTGATCGAGGTCCTGAAACTATTTGAATCTGGATCTGTGCAAAGTGGTGCAAGCCTCCAAGCTCGCACTGTGGTAGATGTGCAGAGTGGTGGTGTGAACCTCAAAGCTTGCACTATAGTGGATGCCACTGCTCCTTGGCACCGGACGGCACTCAGAGTGAATTATGCTTACAATTTGATAGTCCAGTTGCTGAGTTCGAGAAACGTTTGAGAGAGAAGGACTCCAGAGTTGCAAACAGAGTGCCCTTGGCATGGTGAAATGGTAAGACTATGGAGTTTGAACTCAGTGCTCAAGCTCCTTGTCTAAGAGAACTGCTAATATCTAACACTACAGGCTGTAACAATAATTAAATGAGATAGTCCTAGGAAACCCTCTCCTATGACAGTATGGAGTAGTCCCAACACCAGCAGCAAGCAACATTGGTTGCTATGGCATCTTATTTAAATTGAAACCATTGTATTTGAACCCAAGGGGAGGGGAAATACCCTATTGTTGTTTAAGGTTTCTCTCCCCTTCTAGCAAGGAAGGAGCATGGACTCAGATGGGTGCATGTCTGCCAGGGGTAGGTAAGTAACTTCCTGCTCCTTCCTCAGCTCAGGAAGGGTACCCCTGGACTTACCACTCCTCACCCGGAACAAATAAAATCAGATTAAACTGGAGCAGAGAACAAAATGAAGAAATAAGCCCTTAAGAATCAACTAACGTTTGTAAAGCAAACAGAAGCAGCCATTGGCACCATCCGCACAGTACACATGAGCTCCCTTTCCTAAAATCTGACTGGAAGAGCTTCTCCAAGCATTGATCACGTGCCTCCAGTCTGTTTCTCACAACCCATTTCCCATCTTCCCACACCATTATATATGTGAAACTAGTATCTAGGGAGCAGGCCGAACAGGGAGAAAGCTGTGCCTATGGCTGCAAGAAGAAAAAGCCTTGACCCCTTTGCTCATCACTCCTCCCTCTCTACACCTGGACTCCAGGAGTTCAGCTCAGTGCTTAGCTGGGAAAATCTGCTTCTGCTTCCATGAGCTACTGGGTGAAGGCTCTAGGATGGCATTCAGGGTAGTCATTGATTTCATTATCGGGGAAGGGCATTTAAGGCAGCCTCTCCACTATTGTTAGATTTAGTTGGGGGTCATCCTTGTGGATTCCTGGGAATTTCTCTAGTGCCAGGTTTAAGCCCACAATGGCTCCTTTTATCAAAGAGTCTCTTTCCTTGCTCTCCTTCTCTGTTTTGCCCCCAAATCGTCCTTCCTGAAGACCATGCTGGGGAAACCCACAGGAACAGCTGATCTGAGCAAGTGGGAGCTCAAGGACCCCCAGACTGACAGCTGGGGAACCTGCATAAGGCTCCCTGAAGATGGCTGCCAGTGGGGTGGCCTCACAGTCTATGGGGCCGCTGGCAGTGGAACCAGTATTTATCCCTGGTGCCACTCAGCAAAAACCTAGAAGCCGTTAAACGACATGTCTTTGGAGTCGGATTGCTTGTGAATACCAACTGCAAAATTAAATTATATGCATATGTTTATGTAACTACGTTTTATGAGTACCCATAGCTTTCTGTGACAGTGTTTTGATGGCCACTTTTCTTGCATTACAGTACAATTTCTAATGAGATCCTAACTAAATTAGAAACTTTAATGGATGCAAAACCACTTACATGAAAACCCTTCACAGGTGGTATGAGGATGCACATGTGAAATTCTTCCAAGAGCCAGGGAGGAGGGTTACATGTTCAAGACTAGACAGAGCAACTGAGGCAGGAGCGGGAAGCATTCAAATGTAGGCTGGGAAACTTAGCAAGACCCTATTATTAAGGGAAAAGAAACGAACCTTGCCCTGCTACAGATTAAATGATGTTTATAGAAAGAGCAAACCTGTTTGCTCTCAAATGCCTCCCTTGTTTCTCAGTAACGAAACCCATGCTTTAAATCTTGGAAATACTACAGACATCAGAATGGTAATCAAACTAAACTGATGGCAGACATTCTAATATGGTCACAGGAAAGCAGCTTAGACACTGAGCAATGCTACTGTGATGGAGACTGGCAGTAGACATTTTCGTCTTGTGGCCGCTCTCTCCTCTCTCTCTCTCCTCTCTCTCTCTCTCTCTCCTCTCTCTCTCTCTCTCTCTCTCTCTCTCTCTCTCTCTCTCTCTCCAGCAAAGCAGCTGGAAACTTTCAACCTGTATCCTAAGTCTCAAAGACTTATCTTCCCACATTCAAATCTGTGCTGGAGGCTGCCCTTCCTTTCTCTTTTAGTTCCCCTATTCTTTTCCCTCCTTTAAAAGAATCTTTTCTTCTGGCTTCATTATAAAAGACATTTTCTATTACCTACAGGCATAGGTGTTTTTATGTCAGGTGATGTAAGCCATTCTTTGAAAAAGTTAGAAAAAGATATTTTACCCATAACAAATATAGACAGCGAGTAAGTATATCTTTGCACATATGGTGTCTTAACCTATGACAATCTCTTTTCCATATTGATGGAACTGGGTGTTACAGTAATTGTATTGTACTTGCAGCCCCAACACTTCCCAGTATATTCTTAGCTCAAATAACCAGCCATGGGATAGTTGTTGTTGTTTTTTTTTTTTTTTTCATGGAAAAGGTGAACTAGGAATGCATGTTGTAATCTCTGTAGAACAGTCTCTCATCTCCTCCTGCTGCCAATCTCCAGTCTTTTTGACAAATCTGTATGCTCATCAGTTGTACCTAGTTCCTGATCAAATCCAAGACTCTATCTAGACCAGTACCGTCTATGACAAGTCACAATCATGGATACAAACCAACTGTATGAAGTGTGCCTGCAGGACATCTGGCTTTGCACAGTCTGTTTCCCATGCTTGTGAACCGGGCTATGGAACCACATATTAGCCTATCATCTCTTCTCATTAACTGCATAATTCAAAAGCTCACAACGATGGGGCACATGAAATATTTTATGGGGTGCCAATTCAGGGATTGAGATAAGGAAAGCTCCCTCTACTAAAACCGTATTGACTCTCTCTTCAACCTCAGAGACATAATTTCTGAAATCGTTTGGACATCTGGTAAGGCTATTGACTTTCCAGGCTATCCTGGAAATATACAATCCAAAGGGCAGAAAGGTCTCTATTAGGAGGTCTGGATAAACTGAAGCTCAAATGGACACCCGCTGACTTCCGTCTGCTCTCCCTAGCTTTCTCTAACGATCTGCAGTAAGCGAGGGGAACAGACAGTTGTGGCCACTTGACTAACATCAGGTATCGTCCATGCCTTTCAATAAAACCCTGTCTCGGTTGCCCAGGACCATAGGCATGGGCAGGTATCTCCGACAGCCTGTTTGTGTTTTCGGAGACCATTCTATGACAAATTCATGCTGCTTACCACCAAGGGCAACACCGGCGCTCAGCTCACATCGTCAAACCTTACCAGAACATGGCAAAAACACCGTGAGTTTAAGTGCAGAGCACACAACCGAAATTGATTAATCATCTTCGTGTTTGAGGATCAGAACCAAAAGATGTGAAAACGAAACAACGGTGTGACCGAAATCTCAGTCCTGGGTTGTGGTTTGTGCTAACAGCGTAGTGGCTGTCTTCTGCGTTTATTTAACCCCTACAATCCCAGCACTGTCCACAGACTTACCTGCAGCTGGAGTGGGCCTAAGCCTGGGGTCGCTGCAGCGGCAGCTGCCATGGTGGTTGGGATCAGCTGAACAGGGTAAGGGTCACCTAAGGAGGAGAATAATAGAGGCATCAGCACCTTATATCTCCTTTCCACCTGCAAATTAAACTCCTGCATTCTCTCTCTCCAAAAGCCTGCCTTTGTGCGCCTGGCCCGGGGCCTAATGAAAAGATCCATTGTGTCGCCTTTTACCAACTCTTCACAACCCTGGCTGAGAGAGGAGTGGGAATAAAAGGACTGAGCAATTAAGGCCGAAACCTCATCCTTTTTCCATGATGTGTTTAGGGAAATGGGGGTTGGGGGGGCACGCGGTTCAGAGGCGCACGCGCACACACACACACACCACTGCAGTCTTGATGAGAGCACAGAACATCCTTCCTTGCCAACTTCCCATTCTTCCCATTTTAAAGAGCGAAACACCAGAGATTTAAGCCATGAACTAGACTTTCAAATGTTGTGCTATGGCCTGGATTAAAATAATCTCTTTAATAGGTCATGGGCAAATTCAGAGTCAAGAAAACATTTCATGCTTGTCCTTTCTTTCTTTTTCTCTTTGACATTACAGAAAATATTGACATCTTCGTTTTTCTGGAGATAAATGCTGACAAAAGTAGACTTTAAAGGCAACAGACAAATTGATCCTTCAAAATTGTGTCTTTAACGTATGGTTCAAAATTAATCTTGTTTTTCCCATCAGGGATTCTATAAAAATCCAGACATTAGAGGTTTACATTGATTATTTCATGTCTTTTTTGATGCAGACATAGAAATATTTATTGGCTAAATAAGACATAAGGTGGATACTCTGCATAGTGGCCAACTATAGGTTAGTAATGTAATCAATAGTGCACATTAGTTAACCACTGGAAATGTGATTTAGCAAGGAATTGAAAGTTTTGTCTATAAGAACAAATTTTCTAATATATTAAACTGGTTTTAGAAGTTGAATGTGTGAAGCCAGGTGTCTGTAAAACTGAGGCAGGAGGACCTTCATTGATGGCCAGTGGCGACTACATAGTGAGAGACTGTCCTGTCGCAATCAACAAGCAAAACATGAATTCATGCAAGAACCTGTTGGGGTATGCATTAGCAATAATATTAAGATGCTTCAGTTTAAAACACAGAGTATCTGTGGTAAAATGGTAACCACTGCTCCGGGTACTGAAAGGTGAACATTGAAAAAGTCTAGCATAAACATGGAGGTTTATTAGGAATGCAGGGAAGTTTAAGTTGTAGGCATCCAGAGAGGTCCCTTAGTATCACGTACACAGTCTCACATCATTGTTTCACCAATTTTCATAATTTTATACTCCACCGTGATTTTTTTTTGTGTCATAATAAATATTTTATACTGGTGTAGAGATTTTTATATAGGCAATGTTTTTATTTTAATTCTAAAGATGATGTTCTAGGTTATGTTATTGTGACAAATGGCAGGATAAAAAGCAAGTTGGAGAAGGAAGAGCTTACTTGGATTTCAATTCCAAGTTACCTTCCCTCATTGAGGGGAAGTCAAGGCTGGTCACGTAACATTCGTAGACAAGAAGCAAGGACAACTGAATGGATATACCTGTGCTGCCTGCTTGCTTGTTCAGCTAGATTTCTCATACAGTTCAGGACCTTGCGTAGGGAATGACGCCACCCACGATGGGCTGAATCTTCTACAGCGATTGACACTCCAGACAACCTCCACAGAGAGTCACAGGCCAATCTGATTTCAATAATTCCCCAATTGAGACTCTTTCCCCAGATAATATAGGTTGTGTCAAGCTGACAGTTAAAACTAACAGCAAAGGAGATCACCCAAAACCATAGGTTTGTTCCAGGTTTCAAACAGGAGTGGACCTCTGGAGATCTGCCCTTCACGGGGTTTATAGTTGATGTGGGCTGGGTCAAATTAAAACTATCTGTATAAGATACAACATTTAGTAAAGAAATATATAATTCTGTAAACATTTATTGGGGCCTCCAAAATCTTGTCTAAGAGAACAAAGAATCCTCTGGGAAAAGGCATGTTTAAGGTGAATTTGAAGTAAAGACAATCTAGTTGGGGAAAGGTGAGAAGGGAAGGCAGAGAGAGAGAGAGAGAGAGAGAGAGAGAGAGAGAGAGAGAGAGAGAGAGAGGACATTCATGAAGATAAACACACAGTGGGAGTCTTATTCCATGTTCTAGGTCCAGAGATGCTGTACTGCAAAGCATGAGCTGGGGCAGAGGGCACCAGGAAATATCGTTATTACTCAGGGTTCTATAAGCAAACCCTAAGGCATCTAAGTTCACCCTTCAGAGGAAAGTGAGCCCCAAACGTGAAGAAGAGAAACAACTGACCAAGATCACCACACAGCAGCAGACGTCTGTGTAGCAGGGGCGCAGGCGTGGACAAGGCTGGGAACTTTGGTGGTGCAGGGAGAACTCAGCACTTGAGGGACAGGACAGCAGGGGTGCTGGCTGTCTCTTGACAAGGCAGACACTAACACAAGGGTGACTTCCAGAGTTTCCCCTCTAACACTGACAGAAGACAGGGTCTACTCAGGCTCCTTACGGGGTCGAGGAACAAGACGGCCACGCTAGAGTAGGATGCTGATAGAGTAAGGAGTAAGAAAATCCGTTTTGGGTATTTGTGTTCTCAGAGCTTGGAGAGAGGTAAGCACCCATCTAAATCTGAAGCTACATGCCTTGAAGGCATCAGCTTTGAGTAGATACAGCTGAAAGCCAATCCCAAACAGACAGGTGCCAGGATCGGTGCGGATTAACATGTATAATCTAAGGCACACTGTAACTTTAAGATCAAGTGTACCATGGTTGGTTTTAGTTGTTAACATGACCTGGGAGGAAATTCTCAGTGAGAGATGAGAGAGACAGAGACAGAGAGAGACCTGGCCTGTGGGGCAGGGTGGATACTATGCTGGTAAGATTAACCGATGCTAGAAGAGGCAGCCTACAATGCAGGCTCCACCAGTCCCTGGGTTTGGGTTCTAGATTAAGAGTGGAAAAGTAAGCTCGTTCATTCTCTCTCTACCCTGGACCGTATGGCTGACCGTTGCTTCAAGCCCCTGTTACCTTGATTGCCCTGCCGGGGTAGACCATGGGACTGTGAGCTTATGTAAACTCCCCCAAGTTGTTCTTGTTAGGGGATGTTATCACAGTGAATGGCAGGAAGGCATTCTGGGGACAGCTGATTGGCAGTGAAGGAAGACTGGGGTAAGATGAGGCGTGCAGAAACGGGACAGGGCAGGGTCTCACTGGCGGGGAGGTACAGAAAACTGACTTGGAATGAATGCATGAATGCTAGGGTAAGGATAAGAGAAAGGAACTGGGAACGGGCTCCACAAAGCCAGTTGCTGCCGGCAGAACTTCCGTGTAAGCGGGAAAGTTCTACTTCCAAAGAGACAAATACATGTAAACAGTATAGCAGCCCCCACTGCTAATGAGGAGCATCCCAAAAAGACAGGGGATGGGCAGGTGATGCCGCATGCTTGGGCTTTTGTGCCATTTGGTATTACCAACTGCTTAATTTATGTGACACTGATCCAGTGGAGGGAAGTTGAAATGTTTAACATTGAAATTACGTTTGCACGAACTAGGGAAAATGGTAAATATTATAATTGTATGGTTATTAGAATCAACCACGTAAATGGTTACAACATTGTAATTCATTTGTATCCCCCCCCCCCCCACTTAATGAACACAATCTTAAAATTAACTGAAGCGCTCATGTACAGGCTCTGGTGCTCTTCACAGTGATAATTCATTTATACAATTTACTTCCCCTGTTGTAAATTAATCAATTAATAAGCACTTGCTACATCCACCATGTGATTAGGAATCTGCCGGGTGCTGTGGGAGACGTACACAATAAAAATTAAACAAATCTGGGTCCCCAGTTATTGCACATTAATCTCTCCTCCCCAGGAGCATGTCTGAGCTGCACAGGCCTGACTGCTACAGGAGTTAAAGGCGGTGGCTTCTACGCTTTTGAGCGTAGTTAAAGGGGGGATAGGAGTTAGTGTGGTTTTGCTGGCTTTCAGGGTTCAGGGGGGTCAAGGGACAAGAAGCAGGCCTTGAAACCTATTATCAGAACACAGGTGTTCCGTCCCCAGGCTGGGGACGGAAATGCGGCCTAACTGGTGATCCATGGAAAAGAGCAGAGATGAGAGACATTTTCACACTCCATCGCCAAAGAGATTTGGGTGCAACAGATGAGAAAGGAGCGTCTGGCCAGGGTGGTGGGCGGCTCCTGCTTGTAATTCTAGCAGCTGTGAGGCAGAGGCAGAGAGAGCACCAGTTGTAGGCCAGCCTGGGTTACAGAGTGAATTCCAGTCCAGCCTGAGCTACACAGCAAGATCCTGTCACAAAACAGAAAGACAGAAGAAGACGGAAATGCAGGTTTAATGACATTACTACGGAGATTAAGTGCCAGGTGGACTAGATGACCTAGATATCTTTCAGGAACTCAAGCTCTAAGTGCATTTAGATGGGACTGCACACTAGCAGAGGTGGTTTGGATTTCCATATCACTGATACCTAAGAGTAGTGAGCTACCTGTGTATGTAAGGGTCATAACTTAAGACCTAATCTAGTTTCTAATATTTTTATATAAAAAAATTACACAACAGAGTATTACTGTTTTCATTCCTTACATTCATGACAATATTCACAGTTACTTTTCTTCGTGTTTGTGCATGAAATAGTCATAAGCAGTGAGCAATTGTGTATGTGTGCTATGGGTTGAATTAATTGTGTAGCCCCCGAGATGTTGGGAAGCCCTGATATGCATACCTCACTCTGGCTTTACCTGGATTTACAGAGGTGAATAAGTAAAATGCATTCACTAGCAGGCCTTAATGGAATGTAAGAGGAGCCCATTCTTTAAAATGAATTGATTGTGTGAGTATGTGTGTGTGTATGTGTGTGTACATGTGCATGGTGTGTTTGTGTGTGTGTACATGTGCATGGTGTGTGTGTTGTGTGAGTGTGTGTGTATGTACATGTGCATGTTGTGTGTGTGAGTGTGTGTGTACATGTGCATGTCGTGTGTGTGTGAGTGTG